CTACCTAATCTATCTAATCTGTATCTAGTCTGCCTGCCTGCCTGCCTGCCTGCCTGCCTGCCTATCTATCTATCTATCTATCTATCTATCTATCTATCTATCTATCTATCTATCTATCTATCTATCTATCGTCTATCTCTATCTCTACCCACCTCCCATGTATCTATCTATCTATCTATCTATCTATCTATCTATCTATCTATCTATCTATATCTCTACCTACTTCCCATGTATCTATCTATCTATCTATCCATCTATCCATCTATCTGTCTACCTACCTACCTATCTACCTACCTATCTGAATGTTGATCAAGTGAGTATGGGGATGCCACAAATGTCATAAGTATGAAGTCACTTTTTTGAGTGCTGTTGTAATTTTGAACGGTCCCTAAATAAACTGTTGTAAGTCGAGGACTACCTGTACAGGGGGGGCAGTGACATCATCACCCAAATGACACACTGAAGCGTATGATGTCATTGTGGCTTGCGCCACAATGATATTGATAGATAGAGATAGATAGATAGACAGTCAGATCCAAATGAAGATAAATACATAGATGAAAAACAATGATTGGATGGGACCTTGGAGGCCTTCTAGTCCAACCCCCTGCTCAAGTAGGAAACCCTAGACCAATTCAGACAAATGGTTGTCCAATTTCTTCTTAAAAACCTCCAGTGATGGAGCACCCATCACTTCCGCATCCAAGCCATTCCACTGATGGATTATTTTCAATCTCTTTAATTTCTCCTTAATTCTAGACTGGATCTCTCCTTGCTAAGTTTCCATCCGTTATTCCTTGTCTGGCCTTCAGGTGTTTTGGAGAATAATTTAACCCCCCCTCTTCTTTGGGGCAGCCCCTCAAATACTGGAAAGCTGCTATCATGTCCCCCCCTGGTCCTTCTTTTCCTTAAACTAGACGAATCCAATTCCTGCAACCGTTCTTCGTGTGTTTTATCCTCTAGTCCCTTAATTATCTTTGTCGCTCTTCTCTGCTCTCTTTCGAGAGTCTCAACATCTTTTTTGTATTGTGGTGACCAGAACTGGATGCAGAATTCAAGTGTGGCCTTACCAAGGCATTATAAAAAGCGATATTAAACACTTCACGTGATCTTGATTCTATCCCTCTGTTAATGCAGCCTAGGATCGCATTGGCTTTTTTGGCTGCTGCGGCACACAGCCAGCTCGCATTCTGTTTACAGTCAAGTTTTTGTCATAACCACGACTGCTTTTGACAATCACAAATTCCCAACCTTTGATCTGTACCCACTCTACAAACTCGGCACCTTGAAAAAACCGGCGTCTTCTTCCTGCCGGAATTCCTGCTTTCCGGCGTGTTTCCACGGGATACGGAACATCGTTTTGGCTGGCGGGTCATCCCAAACCAAACCTTGGAATTTTCCGCTCTCCACCTGCTCCACAGTCCAGTCTCGGAGTTTCCGAGTGGATCTAATCCCTCGTTTGGAGGTCGCCATCTATGAGGAAGAGCCAAAAGAAGAAAAAGAGACAATGCAGGTAGTCCTCAACATACGACCACTCATCTCGTGACCTTTCAAACTTACGACAAGATGGGGGGAAAACATGACCAGAGAGGGCTTGATATTTCCACAAGTTCTTTTCTTATTTTATCTTATTATTTTTTAGTTTAATTTTATTATCTATTTTTAAATTTGTAGTTATCATTGCTGTGTGATTAACAACTATTACGCTCAAAAAAGACGGCCAAAAATATCATAAGTCTGGGCACGACTCACTTAGCAATGGCCCTGCTTAATGGTGGAAATTCTAGTTTCAATTCTGGCCATAAGTCGAGAACTACTCTGTTTCTCTGAAAATATGACCTACCCTGAAAGTAAGCCCTAGCTTGATTTTTACATGTGCGTCCAATATAAGCCCTACACCCAAAGTAAGGCCTAATTAAGATCCCTCCCACTATTTCCCTTTGGCCAATTGTAGCCAGGCCTCACACACACCGACACCTGCCTTGCCAGCCCATTTCTTCGCCAGCCAGCAAGGCTGGCAAGGCTTTCCTGAAGGCCTCTGGAGCTGATCACAAAGCTCCAGATCGATCTGGATCTATTGGCTGTAGAGGCCTTCAAGAAAGCCTTCCTGGCCTCAGAAGTTCCTGAAGGCCTCTGATAGCGAAAAGTGGGCTGGTGGCAATGCACGCAAGTGAAGTTAGTCAGTGGATGACATCTCCCAAAAATAAGACCTGGTGAATTTTTTGGTGGCAAAAAAAAAAAAAGTAATATAAGGGACGGTCTTATTTTTGGGAAAACAAGGTATCTGTGATTATATGCAGATTTCTCACCAAACTAAAGATATATCTTCAATTAGCAATGACTAGCACTGATGACGTTACCTAGTTAGGTCATGAAACGTTAGCAAGAAAACAACCAAGTTCAGAGGGTACCAAGGACTCGTCTATTCCCCTCCCCCTCCTCCTCCTCTTCTTCTTCTTCCCCCCCTCCTCCTCCCTCCCCTGTAGCACTGATGATGTTCTCTAGTTGAATCATGAAACATCTGCAAGGAAACCACAGAGCTCAGAGAACACCAATGACCCATACATCCTTTCCTTCCTCTTCCTTCTCCCCCTCTTCTTCTTCCTCCTCCTCCTCTCCATCAACCCCACTCCCCTCTAACACTGATGATGTTCCTTAATTTAGAATAGAATAGAATAACGGAGTAGGAAGGTACCTTGGAGATCTTCTAGTCCAGGGGTCACTAACCTTTTAGACCTCAGGGACCACCAAACTCAGAATTTTAAACCCTGCGCACCAGAGACCCTGGGAAAGTCCACGAAAAAGTCTGCAGGGAAATCCCCCCACCCCGTTTTCCTACTGGTCGATCATTCTTTATTTGGGATCACAGGATACCATCTCCAGCTCCGTTCTCAGGGGGAGGCAGAGAGAGAGAGAGAGAGAGAGACTTTTGGCTTCATGCAAGGAAAGCAGCAGAAGCAGCAGAAGTCTTTCTTTCTCTCCCCCAAACTCCGCCAGAAATGAGTCTTTGTGAGACTTGTCGCGCCAGTGTAGCCTCTTGGAGCAGGAGGCCTTGCAGGGTCCCAAAGACTCGTTTCTGGCGGAGTTTGGGGGAGAGAAAGAAAGACTTTTGCTGCTTTCCTTGTGTGCAGCCAAAAGCAGAAGAAGAAAGAAGCGGAAAGAAGCAGCCCGGTGTCCAGGCCAGGCGCGTGGGGCGAGTGGGGCAAGTCCCCCCCCTCCGCCCTTTCCCCCCTCCCCTCACTACCTCGTGTTGTTTGCAATGCAAGAGACGCAAGCCTTGTGTTCCCACGCAGCCTGGATTAATTGCTTTGGGGGTGACATTTCTCTGCGGACCCACAAAATTTTCTCACGGACCACCGGTGGTCCCCGGCCCACAGGTTGGCGACCACTGTTCTAGTCCAACCCCCCCCCGCCCCCCCGCTTAGTTGGGTCATGAAACATATATGAGAAAAGAAACCAGGTCAGAGAGAACCAAGGAACCTTCGTCTTAACCCTGAAGTCCAGATGTTTTATTTTATTGGAAGCCTCTTCAATTGCCTACGAGGCCCAGGACAGACAAAATTTTAGCGATGGCTAAACTTTCTCCCACTAATAAGGATTCATTATTTTACTATTGGGGCTGTGAATTGTATTGATGAAAAATCCCGAACTAACGTACAATCAAACGTTTATCCGTGCTTCATCCCATTTAATACCAATCTCTTTTCAAGAAAACCCCTCTTCCACCGACCACAGCTAGTCCTCGACTTACAACAGTCCGTTTAGTGACCGTTCAAAGTTACAACGGCTTCGAAAAAAGTGACTTTGGAGCATTTTTCACACTGTTGCAGCATCCCCACAGCCGCGTGACTGAAATTTAGGTGCTCGGCAACTGACTCACAGTTATGACGGTGTCATGTGAACCTCTTTTTTGACATGCAAACTCAATGAGGAAGCTGGATTCACTTAAAAACTGGGTTAGTTAACTGAACAACTGTGGCAAGAAAGTTTGCAAAATGGGACAAAATTCACTTAACCAATGTCTCGCTTAACAACATAAATTGGGGGGGGTTCCTTTGTGGTCGTAAGTCGAAGACTACCCCATATAAATGAGCAAGTTTGAATGAACTTTGATGCACGTAAAAACTTTTAAAACTTTTTTTTTTTTAAGTTTTAACTTGTTTGTAATCCTGCTCTTTTAAGATGTGCTTTTTTATTCATGCCTTTAGGTGGTGTATGTATGTATGTATGTATTTATGTATGTGGCTGTTGCAAACCGTTCACACAGGCGAGATGGACGCAGAAATTTAAAATTGAAATGAAATAAAAGCCTGAGAGAAGAGCAGATGGAAAGCTGATTCTTAAAAGCAAACAAACAAACAAACAATCCAGATTTGGAAATAACTTCCAAGCAGACAAGAGAGCTGGAGAGAAAAAAGACATCAAGGAAGTTTCAATGAAAAAAAGCACACAAGATGTTTCTTTGTTGAACTTCCACTAATCTCAGAAGTATGAGATAGGAGAGAAGCACCTCCTGTACAAAGTAAGCAAAAAAGATTTCAAATAAATAAACGAGAGATAGACACACACCCACACACCCGCACACCCGCACACCACAGAGAGAGAGTGAGCGAGCGAGAGACAGCCAGCCAGCCAGCCAGCCAGACAGACACATTAAGAAGTAGGCCGGCAGAGGAGGAAAAATAATAATTAAAAAAAAACTTAAACCAGAGGGAAAATGAAGCAGTGACCAAAAAAACAACATTGTGGAGGAAAGAAAACATAAAATACCATAAAGAATGTTTCAAACCCAGAAAGCTTCTTGCTGAGATGGATGGTGTGAAAATGAGCTTGCGTTAAGTCAATAAAACGTCTTCGGTGGAAATCAAGGTGAATGAATGAATGAATAAATAAATAAATAAAACTGGATAGATTTTCGCTATTCTGCAAAAGTCTGCTTTAGCTTGGACACCTGTCCCTTCCACCCAGTCTTTGGACCCAACTGGGGAAGCAACTTAGAAATAATAATAATAATAATAATAATAATAATAATAATATCACCACCATCATTGTAGAAGAATAAGGAGGGGGGAGGGGGAGGAGGAAAAGAAGGAGAAGGAGAAGAGGAGGAGGAGGAGAAGGAGAAGAAGATAATGATACATGGACATTTTGAACTTATGAGATCCGAATATTCTGACTTTGCCAAAAAAAACACCTTACTCGGAATGGCCTATAGACTCAGATGCTTAATTGTTCTTAGGTCCTTGGTTAGGCCTTGAACTGTTAAGTTTGAACCAGTTCCAGACTGTCATTCGAACGGAAGATTAAAACTGAAATAAGAATAATAATTCTGACTTTATAATAATTTGGAATTGCCTATATTATTCAGACGCTACCTTAATACGGTAGGTGTTAGGTCCTTGGTTAGGCCTTAAACTGTTAAGTCTTTTTATGAGTCCCAAAGTGTGACTTGAATTGAAGATTAAATTGACAACAACAACAATAAAGCAGAATAGAAGAGAAAGAACTGGAGAAGTTAAGAAAATACGAATACCTGCAAAGAGAAATAGAACAACTGTGGCAAAGGCAAGCAAGGGTAGCCCCAATAGTAATAGGCGCCTTGGGTGCAGTTGCAAAACAACTGGAGCACCATTTGAACCCCATGGGCATTGACAAATTCACCATCAGTCAGTTATAAACGGCAGCTTTACTGGAGACAGCTTCCATCCTGCGACCATAGTCTGTACTACTATGGTCTATGCTACCGTCAAACATCCCAATCAGCCTATCCCAGGTCCTTGGGAAGGATTCGATAGATAAAACAAAAATGTCAAACCCAGTTTGAACATCTGCCTGACTGTGTGATGAATAATATTAATAATATCACATATATCATTGACTGGTGTGATGGTTGATATGGATTGCTGCCAGCATTCTAGGTATCAACCAAGTATCTTCTTAAAATGTACACGATACATTTTTGAATGTTCAGTTGACTGAGTTTCATGTTTAATAAAAGTTATTATTATTATTAATTATTAATAATAATAATTGTGATACTTTTTAAATGTTCAGTTGACTGAATTTTATGTTTAATGAACAAAAGATAATAATATTTGTGATACATTTTTAAATGTTCAGTTCACTCAATTTCATGTTTAATGAATAAAAGATAATAATAATAGTAATAGAAGTAGCAATAGAAATAATGATACCGTGTTTCTCATATAATAAGGCCGGGTCTTATTTTTTTTTTGAGCCCCGAAAAAAATGGCTAGGCTGTCTTTTCGGGGTTGACTTAATCCCCCCCCCTTGCATCTTTGGGTGGACAGGTGGCGACAGCTTGGATGTTGACCTCGGAGTTGGTGGGGCACTTTGTATCGGGGACAACGCAGGCAGCACCATATCCAAGTGTGCAACAAAAGTACTTCCTAACGGCAAGCCCCCCCCACACCATCCCCCCCCTCCATTTCACATGTTTTAATATAGGCCTTAATTGGGGGAGAGGGGCTTAATTTCATTTCATGCCTATAAAACATGCTGGGACTTCCTATTGGGGGAGGCCATATTGTTGGAGAAACAGGGTAATAATATTCAGAACACCGTACATTTTAAGAAAGTACTTGGTTGATGTCTAGGACGCTGGCAGCAACCCGTACCAACCGTCAGAGCCAGTCACTGGTATTTGTGATACATTTTTAAATGTTCAATTGACTGTGTTTCATGTTTAACGAATAAAAGAGATGATAACAACAACCCCCGCAACAATAATAAACAAGTACCTCCATAGACCGAGGCAACCTAGCCCGCAAGACAAGAGAGAGAGAGAGAGAGAGAGAGAGAGCATCGGATGGGCGGATAAAATATTTGCACGGAAAAAAAACCCATTAAATTATGCCCGTCTTCAAAACATAAAATTTAAAATTAACAAAAGACCTGCCCGTTTGCAAAAGTAATAATAATAATAATAATAATAATAATAATAATAATAATAATAATAATAATAATAATAATAATAATAATAATAATAATAAGGCAAATCGATCGTGCTCGCAAGCAAGCCAAAAAACAATAAAGAAATAAATAAATCGTCCCCGTTTGGGTAAAAAGTAAATAAACTTTAAAAACAAAAAAGGAAGAAAAAAAGAGTTTAAGACACTTCGGGGGAGGAAAAAATCGCGTACCTGACCGCGCTTCTCTTCTTCTTCTTTTCTTTCCTTCTCTTTCTCCTTCCCTTCTTCCTGCCTGCCGATGTTTAAAACACACACACACACACACACACACACACAAAAAGCAGAGGATCTCGAGCTCAGCCCCGCCTGTCCTCCCTCCGGTCCGCCCCTCGGCCCCCGCCCGATTCTATTTCTCCGTGGCTTTTTCATCCTTCCCAGAAATCAGGTGTCGCCTCTTCCGATCGCCACCATTAGGGGGCGGCAGAGGGCTGGCTTATTTTTTTAACTGTTGAAATACCTGTAAAAAAAGAATATTTTGCAGCTCAGGAATGAAATGAGGGGTTTATTCTTTCTCAAAGGGGAATGCTGTGTCCTGTAGATCTAGCCACCGTCTCTTTTATCTCTTCGTGTCTGTCATTTATCTCTCTCTCTCTCTCTCTCGGGTTGTTTATAATCTCTCCCATCTATACCTTTCTATCTTCTGTCACTCATTGATCCCTCTATCATCTTATCTGTCTACCTATCCTATTTATCTATTACCTATCAATCTATATATTCATCATTTATCTATCCATCACCTATTATCTCTTATCTGTCCGTCTCTGTCTGTCTAAACTGTGCGGGTGTGTGAAATATGGTATTTCTCTCTCTAATCATTTATCTATCATTCTCAACCATCAGTCTGTCTGCCTATCATCTATCATCTAATAAATCTCTTATCTAGCTATCTACCATCTCTATCATCTATATATTTATCTATGTATTTATCTATCTATTCTATTTCATCTATGTATCTATCCATCCATTATCTGTTCATTTTTGTCAGCTTGCCTATCTGTGCCTATCATCTACCTACCTACCTGTGTCTATGATCGGTCTCTCTAATCATTTACTTATCTATCCATTCTGTCCATCTATCAGTCTGCCTGCCTGCCTGCCTGCCTGCCTGCCTATCTATCTATCTATCTATCTATCTATCTATCTATCTATCTATCTATCTATCTATCTATCTATCTATCTATCTATCTATCTATCTATCTATCTAATCTATCTAATCTTCTATCCATATACAATCTTTCTAATTTCTCTCTCCTATATCTACCTATCTATCTAATCTAATATCTCATCTTTTTCTCTATTTTCTAACACATATTTATTATGTGATAGATTATAGAGAAAGAAGGTAATTAGGATTATTGAAGATGATTTTAATCTTTCTCATCTCACTCTCCTTTTTCAGTTTTCCCTTCTTGGAAGTATCTGAATGATCATTTTTGGCAAGCAGAATTTCTAGAGTAATCACAATACCTACTATCACATCAGCAAAGATCTCACCTGGAAATCAACACAACCCACAAAGGCCCAACAGACGCCATTTCCTCAGAATCTTGCAAAAGAATAAAATGGAACAATGACTGATGACCTCCTTTTACTGGTCCACAAAAGAAAGCGTCCTCACATATTGCATTGCGGTGTGGTATGCTGGCTTGATAGCCATGGATAGAAAGACATTACAGAGGGTGGTGAACACAGCATTGTGTGCTGTTCCCTGATATCACTAGATGACCTCGCTAGGGCTCGCTGCCTTAGAAGAGTGAGGAAAATCTTCAGGGTTGACTCACACCCTGGTCAGCATTTCTTCACTTTCCTACCATTGGGTAGATTAACAGATAACAGATAATCAGAGTTGGAAGGGACCTTGTAGGTCATCTAGTCCAACCCCCCGCCCAAGCAGGAGACCCTACACCATTTCTGACAAATGGCAGTCCAATCTCTTTTTGAAAGTCTCAAGTGATGGCGTTCCCACAACTTCCGAGGGCAAGCTGCTCCATTGGTTTTGTTCTGTCAGAAAGTTTCTCCTTATTTCCCGGTTAAATCTCTCCTTGTTCAGTTTCCATCCATTGTTCCTTGTCTGGCCTATAGAGAAGCATAGCCAGCCGCACCAACAGGCTGAAGAACAGTTTCTATCTGTGGGCTGTCAGACTTCGGAATGGAAAATAACTTCATGTCAACATAGTATGATAGACTTGCAGGGCTGGCGCGTTGTGCAATAAGTTCACATGGTGTAATAAGATTGTGTGTTTGTTAGTAGGATTCACTGACTTTCTGTCCACTGTGAGTTGTGCTGGGTGTGTGTGTGCACGAAGGGAGGCTCAGCCAATCTCACTGTATGCATGTTGTACTGATAATAAAGGTTGATTTGATTCAATAACTCTGTAAGAAAGAAACTTGTGGGAAATAGCCATTATTTGGACAATTGACTCCCTAGATACCTAAACATTTGAACCAAATTCTCTAGGAGAAAGTAGGAAAATGATTCCACGTTGACTGCATGGTACTGCAAATTTCATGAATTTACTATTTAAATAAATAAGGTGTTACAATTTAGAAACTTCTCTGAGATTTCATTGGTATTTAATTCGTATCAACAAACTCCAAATTAGCAGAAGCTCTCCACAAATTTGGAGAAGAGGAAAAAGAGACAACTCAGAAATGTATTTTAACAACTGTTTTTGGTCAGTGGCAAAATCTAAACGCTGGGACCATATTAATGATAGCAAAAAAAGAGAGTCTCGTTTACCAAAATACATTTTATTCAGACCGATGCATTTCCCAGGAGACATGCAGGCTGAAAGAAGAAATGGAATTAAAACTGCAGGAACAAATGGAATTTGTTCAAGGAACAAGAAATTTTCAATTGAAGTAAAGCATCTATTCGGCTCACCAGTAAATTTTTCCTGCCCCCACAAATCTATTAAGATTAAAATCAAAAACTTGCTGACAGTGTTAGGACAAAATCTAAAATTTTTTTTTTGTTTTCAGGAATCTTGGCAACTTTTAAGACTTGTGGACTTCAATTCCCAGAGTTCCCCAGACAGACTCTTCTTGAGTTCCCCAGAATTCACTGGCTGGGGAATTCTGGGAGTTGAAGTCCACGGGTCTTAAAATTGCCATCGTTGGACATCTTTATTCTAACCGGTCACAACGAGGACACCTCTGGCTGCGCATCACACAAGACAGAAGAAAGAAACAAGGCGTAGAGCAACACAACCCTTAAAGGCAACCTAGTGGTTAGAGAGTAGGGATGGCTTTAAGACTGCCTCTCAGGAGGCCCCACCAAGAACCATCAGTCGGAAATTCTCCAAACACAACGTGTCTTCTTCTGTTCTCCATCCGCTTGGAAGCTCACAGCTTCTCCTTCTCGGTTTATTTCCGTCTCCGTGAGATCTCCAAGTTAAGAGGAACTTCGTCCCTTAGAACCTACAGAAGAATAAGAGTTAGAAGGGACCTTGGAGGTCTTCTACAATTTCCCTGAAAATACGACCTACCCCAAAAGTAAGCCCTAGCTTGATTTTTACACGAGCCCAATATAAGCCCTACCCCCAAAATAAGCCCTAATTAAGATCCCACCCACTCCAGAGTGCACGGGTAAAAATTAAGCTAGGGTGGGGATGGGGGTGTGTGAAGCTGTCCTACTACTTACCTTTGGACAGTTGTAGCCAGGCCTCACACATACCCCGACACCTGCCTTGCCGGCCCATTTCTTCGGCAGCTGGCAAGGCTTTCCTGAAGGCCTCTGTAGCTGATAACAAAGCTCCGGATCGATCTAGAGCTCTGTTATTGGCTGCAGAGGCCTTCAGGAAAGACTTGCTGGCCATAGAAGAAGCAGCTTCTGAAAGCTTCTGACAGCGAAAAGGAGGCTGCGGGTGACGCGCGCAAGTGAGGTTAGTCAGTGGATGACATTTCCCAAAAATAAGACCTGGTGCCTTTTTTGGTGGCAAAAAAATATAAGACAGGGTCTTATTTTCGGGGAAACACAGGTAGTCCAACCGCCTTGTTCAAACAGGGTGACCAAAAGGCATCCCAACGATTGGAGAAGGAACCCAAGCAAGAAGACCTCTAGACCAACAGAAGAGGAGAAGGTTCACCTGGATCAGGCGCCTGCGATATGCTTCCTCGTCCTCCGTCGGTCCCCTGGGAAGCAGCTGGGCAGCCGTGAGGTGTCTCCGGCATACGATCTCCACCTCCTGCAAGGTGTAGAAGACGGCGGGATCCAGAGCATGACTGTTGATCAGACTGACTAGGTATTCCTTGTAGTGCGCCCTGGGGGGGAGGGGAGGAAATCAAGAAATCCATCAGTGTGACCCTCAGGTCTCCTGCCCCTCCCCCCCATGAAGCCACGGCTCACCAGGTCTCTAGACCCCCTTGTTAGAACCACCATCTCGCTCAGGGTCTCCAAAACTGGCAATTTTAAGACTTGTGGACTTCAACTCCCAGAATTCCTCATGCTGGCCAGGGAATTTTGGGAGTTGAAGTCCACAAGTCTTAAAATTGCCATGTTTGGAGGCCATTGATCTAGTTAAAACAGGGGTGTCAAACTCAATTTCATTGAGAGCCACATCAGAGTTGTGTTTGACCTTGGGGGGGGCGGGGGGGGCGCGGCCAGCTCAACATCACTCGTGTTGCAGGGGGGCACCTGTGGTGGCCAAGTACTAAGACAGGACCTCCCTCAGACCCTCCCTCCCTCTCATTATAATCTCCTTCCTTCCTTCCTTCCTTCCTTCCTTCCTTCCTTCCTTCCTTCCTTCCTTCCTTCCTTCCTTCCTTTTCCTCTTTCCTTCTTTTTCTTTGTCCTCCCTCTTTCCTCTTATCCTTTCCTGTCCCTTCTAGGATGCTAAAAGGGGAAACATTTATAATGTAAAAAGGGGAAACATTTATCCTTTGGTTGTGTTTTTGGTTTGTTTTTGCTTGCAGAGACACTGCGAGGCAGATCTAAGCACCCCACAGGCTGCATCCGGCCTTGAGTTAAAACCTTGCTGGTCCCTCCGGAATCATAGAGATGGGAGTCCCCAGAGGTCATCAAGATCAACTCCCAAGACCGGGGGGGGGGGGGGGGGGGGGGAGGGGGGGGGAAACCTGGGCTGTCCACCAGCCCTCAGATGGAGAGTTTAGCTTAGTTTACTTTATTGTCACTGCACCTCATATAACGAAATTAAATGCCATCTTCAGTGTACATTATAGCTATAAAAATAAAACACAAAACATACCTCCTTCGCATTCTATACAACTGAACTGAAAACCCCCTGATATTGCATTCATATTGCACTATATACACTATAATTCAAAAGAGCCACTGCCCTGGGATTAGAAGCTGTTTTTCAGCCTATTTGTCCTTGTTTTTATTATTATTCTGTACCGTCTGCCAGATGGTAATAGTTTAAAAAAAAAAAAGGGTGCCCAGGATGAGATGGATCTTGGAGAACGTTTTGAACTTTCTTAAGGCAGCGGGAGCTACAAAGCTCTTCCAAAGAGGGGAGAAAGACTAGGCCATCTGTCAGCCCTCGGATGGAGAGTCAACAGCCCCCAGGTCTGGAAGTGGCGGATGAGGAAGAGGAGGAACCCACAAAGGGGTTTTACTCACTCGCAAAGGCCAGCATATCCGGCCGGAGTCTCTTTGCCGCACGGTTCATCCTTCAAGCCGTCCAGGGTTTCTTTCTGCTCCATAACCCGACATCCACCTGCATGCAGAGGGGAGGACCCCAACGGTTGAAGCCTGCCCGTTCCCTCATTGGATCGGGACGACAGGAAGCCCTCGACCTACGATCGCAATGGAGCCCAACACTCGTGTTGCTAAGCGAGGCAGTGGTTCAGCAAAAGTCAACGGGAAAGCCGGATTCATTTAACGGCCGTGTGACTAGCTTAACAACGGCAATGATTCACTTCACAACTGCAGCAAAAAAGGTCAAAAAAACGGAGCAAGATTTGCTGAACCATCGTCTGACTTAAAAAGTTTGGGCTAAATTGTGATCGTACAACAAGGACTCTCTATAAAGGTAAAAAGGAAGGGAAATAAAGTAAAATGAAGTGGAGTAAAATAAAATAAAGTCAAGTTAA